CGTGGCAGTTCAAAGCACATAGGGTGGGAAATCTGAGGTTGAGCATCAGGGTGCCGTACAGAGTGGGGAGTCGTACACATGTCTGTAGTGTGGTACCGTATATGACACAAGATAACACACCCCTTGGACCGAGTTTCAAAGCTCGATTACTCCAAAACAAAGATAATGCATAATCGAGGCGGGNGGTTGAGCATCAGGGTGCCGTACAGAGTGGGGAGTCGTACACATGTCTGTAGTGTGGTACCGTATATGACACAAGATAACACACCCCTTGGACCGAGTTTCAAAGCTCGATTACTCCAAAACAAAGATAATGCATAATCGAGGCGGGTTCAACGCCGCCGTTTTCGGCGCTGTGACTGTTCCGGCAGTTGAGAAATCGAGCTTCGAAAATCGGTCAAGGGGATGTGTTATCTTGTGTCATATACAGTATGTTTGTGGCGTGCTGGACATGGGCGATCGCCACCAGATTACATGAAATAGTAGTACAAGGATGTAAATCTCCATGGATCGCCAAAAATCTCGTCTCCATCCCTTGACCAAGCAGGGACCGGCAGAAACCAAAATAGGCCGATGTGCATCGTGCCGAACAGAGGTATTGCAGTTAGCTCGTGATTCACTACTGTTGTCCTCCATAAGGCACGTCCTGGGGCTTACAACTTCCTCTCACATGCACTCCCGTTAAATGTAGAACAAGCATTGTTCCCACACTTCCGTGGTAAAATGGGCATGAAAAGTCTATGCAACGCGACCGAGGAACGTCCGTGGAATCAGTTAAGGTTCTTCGGAAAATTAGATAACACAAGGTATACAGTAAGACGGACCAAGAAAAAAAAATGGAGATGACAGCAGATAAAAAATCCGTCCGCGTTGTGAATGCTAGAAATATTCCGTGTGAGCATACGAACACATCTAGAAACGAGCAAGTCTTGTACTCAGCAGTGGTCACTATATTCTCACCACGGCTGGATAACGCGCGTCGGTCAAAAGTCCTTCTAGAAGGTGGTCCTTCAAAATTTCAAAATGTAGGACATACCCATACAGCATACCACGTGAGGTCCGATTTTGAAATAGAGAGCGGTTGTTCCGACTTCGGGAGTGCGGAGAGATAGCCTACGTACAGACTAGCGCAAAGGCGCACGGCGCTCAAAGTTAAAAACTACATAAATCCAACATCAGCATATCGTACGAATAGGACTGAGTTCCATCAGCATGGTGCCAGAAGCACCAAACCCTGCGAGGGGTGGCCCAACGAGAGAGTCGAGACACACGTGCATGTAGCGTTCTTCGGCGNAGGACTGAGTTCCATCAGCACGGTGCCAGAAGCACCAAACCCTGCGAGGGGTGGCCCAACGAGAGAGTCGAGACACACGTGCATGTAGCGTTCTTCGGCGCGTTCTAGAAATATGGCGCGAATGGGCAACAAGTGAGGGAAGACAGGCATGAAATTCCAACAACAAACCTCCAGAGCAACGCCAGATCCACCCCTCAAACACAAGCACACTCAGCATGACAGGCAGCCACTCGAAGGCAAACACTTTTAGTTCTCTCGCTAACTCACCTCCTTGCCAAGGTAGGCCTCGGCGATCTCCTTCATCTTGACCAGCACCATGGAGGAGATCTCCTCAGGCGCGAACTGCTTCTTCTCGCCCTTGAAAGACACCTCGATGGTGGGCTTGCCGCCTGGGCCCTCGACAACATGGAAGGGCCAGTGCTTCTTGTCGGAGGCGACGGCCGGGTCGGTGTACCTGCGGCCGATGAGCCGCTTGGCGTCGAACACGGTGTTGGTGGCGTTCATCGCCACCTGGTTCTTGGCGGCATCGCCGATCAGGCGCTCCGTCTCGGTGAAGGCAACGTAGGACGGAGTCGTGCGGTTGCCCTGGTCGTTGGCGATGATCTCCACACGGTCGTTCTGCCACACGCCCACACAGGAGTAGGTCGTGCCCAGGTCGATGCCGATGCTCTCTCCCTCGACTGCTGCCATGTTTTCTGCTGTTGATTTCGCGATATATTGAGGTGTGTTCTTGCGATGTATGTGTTCAATTCTTGTGGGCAGATTTTTCGAGATTTTTCGTCGAGAAAGGCGAACATGCCTCCGCCAGCAACACGGAAGTTCCAGAACAAATTATGGTTCTAGATAGTTCAGTTCAATCTCCTACCTCTTTCAGCCATGTGCGGATCCCCTTGGCGAGGCCCGCCGAATTTGAGGAGTTGAGGGTTTGTTGAGCCACTGCAGTGGCTTAGCAGTGCAGCAGTGCGGTCGCACGGCGGGTACGGTGTTGCCCCACTCCGTTCCCGCCTACCTCAGTGCACTCTCTGCCGTCACTCTCGTTTTCTGTTCTTCTCTCTAACGTGCAACCCTTCGGAATCAATCCTCTGACAGCAGTGCTGCACGACTGGAAAAAAAAGGAAGATGGCGGAGGGACAAAAATTATCGTTTCAGCCTACACAGAAGAGCAGCGCAACCGGCGTACTTCCACCCAAGGCTAAAGGTTTACAGCAGTAGACTATTCCAGTAGCTATCTAGGGAACCAAGATTTGCCAAATTCCGTCCACTGCAGGCTTCAAACTTGTCGGCGCAACACGCAACCCCTCCCCTAAAAAAATGGGAGACTTGTATCTACGCGGCGCAACCACCCTGCTGTGCACCTGTGCACCCGCCAAAGCGACCAAGCACGCGAACGCGCCCACTACAGCATCAATCGCCACCAACTTTTGAGGGAAGATGGACCGAGCACCATAGAGTATATTGCAGAAGGGTTGAACTTGATTGCTGGCGGGAATCAAGAGGTAGACACAGATGCAGTTGAAAACTTGCACTAACATACAGACACCATGCTTATTTTCTGCCACGCCGCCGGCAACACCAAGCATTGGCAATGTTGATCTTGCGGTTGTACTTCAAGTATAACACTTGGAGTTNACGCGCCCACTACAGCATCAATCGCCACCAACTTTTGAGGGAAGATGGACCGAGCACCATAGAGTATATTGCAGAAGGGTTGAACTTGATTGCTGGCGGGAATCAAGAGGTAGACACAGATGCAGTTGAAAACTTGCACTAACATACAGACACCATGCTTATTTTCTGCCACGCCGCCGGCAACACCAAGCATTGGCAATGTTGATCTTGCGGTTGTACTTCAAGTATAACACTTGGAGTTTTGTGCTGCAAGACGTACTACATGTGGAGTACTCTTGAATGGCGTCAGCTAGATTTGAACTGAAATTGCTGTTGGGGTGCCCCCCTCTCCCGCTGCGGTGTTGCACCCCACACACTTGTGGCTGTTGACCCGGGGCCCTCACCAAGCACAACTCTCCAGAATCCCGGAGAAACAAACAATTAATATAAGAGGATGGAGTAGCGACAGTAGTATCGCGGCAGCTACACCAACAGGGAACTTGATCACTGATAACCTTGTGCTATCTGACGTCGCACGCAGACAGGCACGACCGGCAATGTGTAGTCTACACGTTATAATTGTTCAGGTATTTTTTCTCGAAGCATCCGAATACATTGTACGCACTGAGCATTGGGTCTGTCGAAAACGCGAGGAAATACTTAGTCTACACACGAACACCGCACACAAGACTGCCCCCCCCGGGTTGCCCACACCTATCAGCATCATGCCCGAACTGAAGGAAACAACAAACACCTTACTTACAGTCAGTACAAACGACACAGACAGGCCCGGAACGCATACAGCACCCGGGGGTCCCGCGTACCTTTCAGGCAGTTTGCGACTAACAAAAAAAACACTATGCCAATAGTCTAATCAACGGACACCCAGCGCGGCCGAAAAATAATCCCCCCCGTCCACCTCTCTGCGCAACTGGTTAGGGAAATACAGGGGAGAAAACGCGCGCGCTGTTCGTCCGTCTGATATCTCGTACCCCGGGGTCGTCGTATTTCGTGGACGGATGCATCCAACGGAAGTGAAGCACGGGCGGGCCTGTTCAACCACCAACAAGGACGCGCGAAATATGTCATTGAAACATGCTAGAACAAATCGGACCACACGATCTTTCGGTACGACGTGGAGATCTGACGTGCAATAATGCCGGGCACGACATCCCCAATCCCAATCCCGAGGAACGATGTTTTATGTACCTGCCTGAAGAAGTAGCCAGATCTCAGGTCCAGGCGTCGATCACGAGATCCGTAACACCATCATCTGTGTCTCCGTCACTCCAGTTGGAGTCGACANATCTGACGTGCAATAATGCCGGGCACGATATCCCCAATCCCAATCCCAAGGAACGATATTATATGTACCTGCTTGAAGAAGTAGCCAGATCTCAGTTCCGGGCGTCGATTACGAGATCCGTAACACCATCATCTGTGTCTCCGTCACTCCAGTTGGTGTCGACGCTCTTCTCGCCACCCCGTCAGGTTCCCCATCGCTGGAGCCAGATTCGCTCGAATCCGACTTGATCAAATCGTCGAGTTCACCGACCGAACCGTCGCCGTTCTCATCCGACTCGGGGTCTTCTAACTCTGCGCTCTTAGATTTCGCGGCTTCGCCGGCGGAAACGTCCTTGCTCGCAGGCGACTCGGGGGTCCCCGCCTCCACGTCGTTCTGTTCCGCTCCATGCGATTCCTGCTGCCTCATAGAGGCGGCAAAGAGTGCCATGGCATTGGCAGCACTGTAGGATGGCCGTGGTCGACTCTCGATGGGTGGTTGGGGTCGGGAGGTACCCTCTACCCGCCTAGTTTGAGAAGCACCCACCGTAGGCCGTGACGCAGACCTCCCCCCTGCACGCACGGGTGCCGGCGCCGCCCGCCGTAGGGGTGCAACGATTTCTGCAGCCGCAAGCGAGCGAGCACTTCTTGTTCGTGCACCTGCACCTGTTGCACAGGGCCGTGGCCGGATTGCAACCACACGCAAGCGTGACTGTCTTTCGGTCAGGGGCGATGTAAGTACATACTCGGACAGGTCAAGCACGCAGTTCTCCTTTGTGAGTTCGTCGCCTTCGCTCCCCTTGCCTCGTGGGTCGAAGCTCCATCCTTTGCCGGCAAACTCTGTCGCCGGCATGGCCTCCCTCAGGCCATTCTGCCAGTACCGGAAGATGGCGTTACCTCGTTCTGCCTGCTTGCGCAGGGAAAAAAAAATGGACAGGTGGCTGTCGTCTTCTTCCTGGGGAGTTGGAGGATGGCGTAGCGGATCACGTCCACGTAGCCCTCGACGTCGCCGTCAACGCTTTCGACCAGCTGGGCTGGAGTCAAATGAGCAGTGCCAAACGCCGCTTCATCCTTGTAGAAGAACATGGTCGCCAAAAGCTGCGCGCATTCGTCGACATGCACGGCCCACGTGCCATCCTGCTCGTCGAAGAACAGCGGCTTGTCAAACAAAACCTCCGTCTGCACGCTCTTGAGGGCCAGTACCCACATCTTGTCGAACGGCAGCCCGGAAATTGCCGGGAGGTAGTCACAGCCCGACTCCAGGAACGTTAGGACGAACAGACGGACCTTGTCGTTGTCCGTGGGAATCCAGCCCCTGAAGGTCAATAGCGGCCACGCGGACTCGCTTCCGTCCTGGAGTTCGCAGATGCTGGCGAATACTCTGTTCATCCACAGGAACTTGGTCTCGCCACCCAAGACCTTCTGGACAGTCACGTCAATCGCCCCCTCGCCACGAGGCCGAAGCCAACCAGTGGTCATCGCCAATAGAATGATCATCCATAGGTCCGTGTCCACCGATGAAACGACCCACTTGTCGAAGCTTTTCCCCCAGTACTTCCTCGCCCAAACGATGAAGTGTATCACGGAGAGCTCCGCCTCGCCGATGTCTGGCCCTCGCTGCCGCTCGACGCCAAGTAGGGTCGTTTCCGTTTCGAAAGTGAAAGAGTGTTTCGGTTCCAGGAAGCGCCTCCGTGGCACCTACCCCTCCCATCTCAAGGCCTACGCCCTCCGCATGTACACCAACTGGATGATCAGCACTCCGACCAGGCTCACCTCCGACGCCATAGAATGCGACGATTCCGTTCGGCTTGGTATCGCCGGTCCAGACTTCAGCTGAGTCACCATTTTGGTTAGGTGTCATCACCGACAGAAGCAACAGCCGCATCAACAGCAGCATCAACAGCCGCAGCAGCAGTCGCATACATCGTCGAGACCAACATAAACCACCGTCAGCAGCAACAAGAAATTAACAGCATCGCCACCTCACCTGTTGACGTTTGAAGGCGGTATGTCTAGACGGTTGGCGATATCCACGGCAACCTGTGTGATCGGGGTGGAAACATGCAGGTTTCGATTATGCTCACGGAATACGTCCAGCAC